TGTGCTGTCAGGGGTGTGGCCTAATATGCTAATAAGTTTCTGTGGTTGGGTGTGGCCTATTATGCTAATGAGTTCCTGCTGGGCTTTTTCTACCAAAAAAGCCCTGGGTATACGCTTCTTCAGATACACCGAAGAAGTGTGCGTGCACACGAAAGTTTATACCTTGAATTAAACGTAGTTGGTCTTAAAAGGTGCTGCTGGACTCAGATTTTGTTCTGTTGCTTCAGACCAACACGGCGACCCACCTGAATTGACTTCCCTAGTAGTTACTGTCTGTGGTCAGTGAAGGGACAGCCGCTCAGTGTTCAAAGGAGGCATCTTGTATGCAGAATGTCCCAGCTTCAAACCCTGGTTAAAGAAGCTTAGGTAGGAACTGTGAAGAGGAGGCTTACTCTGTATGTGACCCTGCAGAGCCACTGCCGGTCACGTTAGACAGTCCAGGGTCTGACATGGCATACGGCAACTCTGACCGTGCATTTCTCTGTTCACTGTGTGATCCAATAGAAAAGAGGAAAGGGGCCCAAGTGTGCTTCATTGGGGTGTAGGAGAAGATGTCCTGGCTGACGAATGCAGCCAGTTCGGTGTAGTGGTTAAGTGCGCGGACTCTAATCTGGGGGAACCGGGTTTGATTCCCCACTCCTCCACTTGCAGCTGCTGGATGACCTTGGGGAAGCCATAGTTCTGATAAGAGCTATCCTTGAAAAAGAGCAGTTTCTGCCAGAGCTCTCTCAGCCCCACCTACCTCACAGGGGGTCCATTGTGGGGAGGGGGAGGAGTTTGTAAGCCACTCTGAGACTACGAGTGAATGGCAGGATATAAATCCAATTTCTTCTTCTTCTCTTTCCCATCTTGGGAGTGGTCAGGGGAAGATTTCTTCCTGAGCAGCAAGTTCCAATCCCCGCACCCCCGATTTTTTCAAGTAAAAGTGCTAGGGACAGTTGGTGTAAAAAACGAAATGAAATGTTCATGGAGGAGGGATCCCTGATCCCTGCAGTTTCTTCCTCTTTTGCCTATGGCTCTCATATGGATGTATGAAGCTCCCTCCATCTTGCCTAGTACCATCGACTTGGACGGGGAAATATCTCCATAGCCCTGCTGAGAGAGGCCTTCCCCAGTTCCGCTACCTGAGGAACATTGGGAATTGAACCCAAGACCTTCAGCTTGCAAAGCGTGTGCTCATGGGCCTTTTGAGTCATTCTCCCTTTACATTCAGGGCTCCTTTTGCATTTGCACTCTTGGATTAACATCCCAGAGCTGAAGTTGGTAGCTTGGAAATCTACTGCATGTTTTCTTGGGGGCGGGGGGCTCATGGGCAGGCCTCCCCCCGCCCTGTCCACTTCCAGGGCTTGGGGGGGGGAGTGCTGCTGCTGTCTGTAGACAAAAAGCCCTGCCTGCCTGGCTCCCCCACTCCACCCCACCCCACAGCGGGATCTTTGACCTGGCTGCAAATTCCCTTCAATCAAGTTAAATGGAGCGAGCCTTCCCCACTGGGAAAAGGAGCTCGCATCTGCATTTGTGCCGGGGTTCCGAGGGGGCCGGATAATCCCTCCATGAGGGTGCACAAAGCCGCTCTCCTGTGGCTGCCATCCCGTTCGCAGGCCCTTCCTGGGTAGCCTTTGCCCCATTAGTAATGAGCGAGGGGCCCCGCTGGGGAAGGAGGGGGGGGGCGTTGGCCCACACAGGCACACCTGCTCCCCAGCCCCTCACAGCTGCTGGCTTCTCATGCAAACTTCTCCCCCCCTCCCAGCAGCTTTTGCTTCCTCCCCCCCCCCCTTCGCTGGGCATTGAGGAAACAAAGAAAGGCATCCAGAGAAGAGGAAACAGCAAAGCAGCAGCCAAGAGTCTGATTCCAGCATAACACGGGAAGGGGTGGGGTGAGATCTAGTAGTGGGAACGAATGCAAAATGTTGAAAAGTGTTCTTATTTAGAGAGAGAAAACTAGTGGGTTTTTTTTTTCCTTTGCAAGGATCCCCCCCTATCTGGGATTTGGAGTGAGTTCTGTTTCGTGGTTAAAGAGGGAGAAATTGCCAAACAAGGCCAAACAAGGCACTGGAAGTGAGAAGGAGAGTGTGGAATATTATAAAAGTCTGGGTAAGCTCAGAATTAGAGGCTGAGTCTCAAAGAGTTAGAAGAGAAAGGAGAGAGAGGCATGCAAGTCTAGTATGGAGGCCTGAAAGCAGAGGAGCAGGGGAGAGGAAGAAAGGCAAAAAAAATGTTTAGCAGGGAAGGTGATGTGTGCTTTATCATCGTCCTGCATGAATGCAGAAATTGATGGCTTGCCAAATCTGTGTATTCGAAGAATACCAGCTTCTATTTTTAAAAAATCAAGTTTCTAGCCCTTATGCCTATGATGCTGGTCGGTACCTGATACAATCTTTGCAGGGAGAGTTGTTAGAGAAGGTTTCCTATATTCATGGGACATAGTTTCTGTACCCACCCTTTGTTTTTCTTCATAACTAGCAAAAGCAGAATAAATTATGCAAAGCAAGGCCATTTATGAATTCCTACTGAGCAGGGAATGTATCTTTCCTTGGAATACAGCTTCTGTTTATCGTGGTGCTGAATGGATTTCTTAAGCACAAGTTTCACACCACCCCTGCAGTAACAAATGTTAGGAATGACTCAGGGCTGGTCCTGAGAACTACCTTCCGGTGTCCGGTTCTCTCTCCCCATCACCCGGAAGTGAAACTGACTCATGTCATTTTATGCATTTCCCCATTTATCTGGCCGCCATTTATCTGGGACAGGGAAAGCTGCCACGGTCACATCAGGAGGCAGGGAAGAACTTAATGCAGGGCTGCCGTCTTCAGAAACAGCCCTGTGTTTCACAAGTGATTCTGCCCTGCAGGTTGGGCAGTTCATTGGTGGTTTAAAACCACTTTTGACTGAGGGTGTTCCCAGTTAATTAGAGAGCAGCGTTTTAAGCCCTTCTAAGAACTACAAAATGCATGCACTGTTCTTAGAAGCATGTGTGGAGGAAGGAATGCCTCTTGTATGATAATTCATACGCACGTTGAAGGTGACTAAAGGAAACCTCCACGTTTGGAGGCAGTCAGCCTCTGAATCCCAGGGCCAGGAGGCAACATCAGGCCGCTCTGTTCTGTTGTTGCCCCTCTAGAAGAACTGGTTGGCCACCGTGTGAGACAGGATGCTGGACTGGATGGATCATCGGTCTGATCCAGCGGGGATCTTCTTATGTTCTTAAGGAAGCACCACCTTAAAGCAGAAAAAGTATATGGTTCTTTCTGTGTTTTTATTCACATGCAGATTTCTGCATGTCTGATTACAATAGAGGACCTTCACATAAATTAAGAGTCGGTTAATGTAATATACAGGGTTAGCTATTAGTCTGTTAGAAGAGAAAAAAATAAAGAACCATAGACTTCTGGGTTTTAACTGTGTTACAAAATTAACGAATGAGCCAGTACAAGGAAGTCCAAAAAGTTAAAAGGAGTAGGTCAAGGGAGGGGTTGAGAGGAGTGAATATGGGGGGAGGGGGCGTGTGTGTGTGAAGTGGTGAAGAAAGGAGGTCATTTGGGGTTTTTTTAACCTAAATTATAATTTTCCAAGATATATCCACTGTATCACAGTTTTGCAAGGATGGCAGTGAAGTCTTCCCTGTAGCCTACTTTTGCAACTAGACCTTACTTTCCCGCGCAGCTCTCTCTTGAAACAGTTTTCCTCTGAGGACCAGGCACCCAAATTGCCCCGGCCCAAAAACACAAAGTCAGGACAAAGAGGAGGCTGCAAGGGCAAGTTAACATGGATGACTACCTGCCCAAGGACCACCACGCTCTTGTGCCATGACCGGCAGGAGAAGGTTTTTTGCCATATGGAAAGCAGCACTATGGCTTGTCGATGGCTGCAGGCTAAGGTGCTAACAGGAATAGGCCCAGTACAAAAAGTTGGCAACTGTAGCTGAATATAAGCAAATGCAGGTCCACTTGTATATAAACTTAATTTTAGTTGGGGATGGGGACTAAAGCCCAAGGCTTCAAAGAAGGTCTGGAGAAAGGCTTGGAAAGAGAAAAGCTTGCAGGGCTGTGAGCTGGAAGACTTTGGAGTCTGAGCCAGGCGGGACTCACACTGGGAGCTGATTTTACCAGAGCTCCCTCCTGGGCTGTGTGAAAAGCATTTGGGAGGGGGTATGTGTGTGCATGTGCAGTGCTGAAGGCAACAACCAACCTGAGAGCAAAGAGATCCAATCCAAAGAAACAATGGTGGAAACAATAGGCTGACCTTTGTAATACTCCTTAGGATCCCCCCCCCCCCAAACAGGTAAGGAATGGGGTTCTGTTTCAAACTGTTGATGTGCCACCAGTTGCTGTGGACGGGCAGGCTAACTGGTCCAAAGCTTTGTAGGCTTTTCAAGATGTGGCAGGGTACAAGTGTTCATCACTCACCTGATATATTTCTCAGGGAGGTCCACCACAGTTGGTTGGTGGGTGGGTGTGTATGAACAGAAGAAGCCCTGGCAGGCCTTCAGAAACACCTGCTTGGAGCTCTTCCAGTGGAGAATGTCTAAAGGGGGGGCTGTTAATGTTTGTGGGAGAAGCTAGGCCTTCTCCCTACTGGTATCGGTCTGCTATCCGTGTTTAGCCCAGTTTCTTGAAGGGAACTATTCCCAGTAAGTGCATCGCGCGTTTCCAAAATAAAATTTGTAGCTGGCGCCTCCTGCGCGCGTTTCTCGGGCACAGCTGCTCCGGGAGCCGCAATACGCGCTCCTCTGCTCGTTTAGAGGGGACGGAGGCCTCTTTCCTTTCAGCCAGCTTGAAAACACGTTAATTTTTGAAGCTTCCGTGAGCCCGGGGCTGTCGTACTACGCGTGCCCGGGATCAGCGGCGCGGCTCGGCCCTGCCCGCCTTTGTGCCTGGCGCATCCGCCAGCTGCTTTCATCGCTTGGGAAGCGCACAAATAAGATCAGCGAGCCCCCTCCTTCCTCGTCCCCTAAGGCTAGGCTCCCGGCTGGGCTGGCCCGCCTTTGCCTTCCCCTCCCTAAGAGGCGCATCGGGAGGCGGAGGCCGCCGGCTCAGCCAATGGGAGCGAGGCGGTGGAGGAGGCTGGCCCGGGAGCAGCGCCTTCCCCCTTGTTTCCCTTCCTCCTTTCCCGGAGCTCGGCGGGCGGCATTGTTTGCGCTTCCCTTCCGCAGCCAGCGCCCGATCCATGGCGGGCGAGCCTAGGCCGAAGAGGAGCGGAGGCGGGAGGCGGCCGGCGAGCGGGGAAGCCATGCGCGCCTAGGGCGCACGAGGGGGAGCGCCTTTGGCACCGGCGGCCCGCGCTTCCTTTCGGGGTCGAACAGGTGCTTGGCGGCGCGCGGGGAGGGCGGAGCGTGCCTCTTCGCCGCCCCGACCCGACCGCTTTGTTTCGGCCCCTCCAGATGCTGCGTGGCGGGAGCCCGGAGGCCTGCCTGCGGCCCCGGCTGCCTTCGCGCCCGTAGCGCGCCCCCCGGCCCCTTTGTTTGCGCCGATGGAGCTCTGTTGTCGGGACTTTCCTCGGGCTGCGGAGCTGCTGCGCTTGTGACCCAGGTGAGCGGCCTTCGAGTTGGAGGAGGAGGAGAGCGCCTTGGGATGCTCGCCGAGAGGGGAAGGCCGCCGTGGAACGCGGGGCGTTCTGATTCTAATATTATAATGTATAAGGTCGTTGGTTACACATAAAAGGGAAGGCTGTTTGTTTTTTTGCGCGCGCGACGGGCAGTTGTTTTTCTGAGATCTGAGAGGGTCTAGAGTTTAAATGGCCTTTAAGAGACATTCACGGCTTGCGATGATGACGAAATGGAGCTTCAAGCTCGCAGAGGCAGTGTATCTCTCGGTGCTGTGCGCCGAGCTAAGGGCAACCAACGGGAAAGCCACCGTCAGCTTTTGTGCTCTCCTGCAGAGTTTCCGGAGACATCTGACTGCCCACTCTTGAGAGCAGAGGACTGGATCTTGCTGGTTGCAGCCTTTGACCCGAGGCAGCAGGGCTCTTTGTATATGTTGTTCTTCTGGGAGGGGCTGTTCTGGAATTCCCAGAAGAACTCTTGAGCACTAAAGTCTCCTGTGTCTTAGGTCAGGCATTCTAGAATTATCCAGATGCATGCAGGGTGGAGATTTAAAATCTGATGCCAGCCTGTATGGTAATTACCAAGAAGCCTCTCTGACGTGATCGCTCCCCTCCCCCTGTCATTGTCACCCACTCTAACGTACCTCTCTTAAAAGACACAAAACAAATGCGTCTGAGCTCACCGAAAGTATTGGCGTACGTTGAGTCTTCTGAACATGGGCTAAAACTGTTGCTATGAAGCGTTATTCTCCAAGGATGCAGTTCTGTGTCCCATTTATATAGGAGTGAGTCTCCTTGAACTTAAAAGGGTCCGAGTAGATGTGAATAGGTTTTGTCTGTGCAGCCACAAGCTAAGACATGCTTAGCAGAATGGGAAGTCTGATTGGAGAAAACTTGTAGCTGGCTTGGTTGAAATAAAACTTGTAGCTGGCTTGGTTGAAATAAAACTTGTAGCTGGCTTGGTTGAAATAAAACTTGTAGCTGGCTTGGTTGAAATAAAACTTGTAGCTGGCTTGGTTGAAATAAAACTTGTAGCTGGCTTGGTTGAAATAAAACTTGTAGCTGGCTTGGTTGAAATAAAACTTGTAGCTGGCTTGGATGTAACTGAACGTGTGAACTGACCTCCCCCCCCCCCAACATTGTGTTTAAAAAGGCATTGGATAGTTCGGTCCACAGTATTCGTTTTGGCACAGAATACCATGTGTACAATTGTGCAGGTAAATTGCCTGGCAAGGTATACGCATGCATGCATAAATCAGCTCTTTTGGGTCTGCAGGTATAGCATTGGAGCGTTCAGTGTGTGGACGGGGGTGTGGCTCAGTGGCATGCAGAAGGTCCAAGGTTCAGTCTCTGGCATCTCCAGTTAAAAGATCTGGCAGTAGGTCCTGTGAAAGACATCTTCCTGAGACCCTGGAGAGCGGCTGCTAGTCCGAGTAGGCAATTCTGACTTTGATGGACCAAGGGTCTGCTAAGGCAGTTTCATGTGTTCATATGAATTCTTCACCCCCGTCCTGTTATTCCTCTCTCAAGGCCTGGGAAGGCAGATGATTGTGTGTGTGTGTGTGGGGGGGAACAAATCTATACCGAAGACCACCCAGTAAATTGGTGGCTGAGTTAGCATTTTGAGGTTTAGTTTGACTAAGCTGGGTTGTGTGGATGGCTCTCCGTTTGCCAAGCCAATATTGAATGCTAGTTGTGGGCGGGGGGGGGGGGGGGCCAAGGGAGGCTTTGGCCTTTGTGTGGGACTTCTGGCTTGGCTGACTGTAGGAAACGGGATGCTGTGCTGGGCAGACCTTTTGGGCTGAGACTGCAGGATTCTTGTGTCCTTTAAGAAAACGAGGAACAGGATTCTTATGG